ATTTTCAAGGTTACATCATATTATATTATAATAAAATGTTGTCAAAAAAAGTAATAAGCTGAATTACCAGTTACTTCTTCGCATAACAGGAAAGATGATGGGCACTCCAAAGCCGTTGAAATTAGTTCCAAGGCAGGTCGAGTATGCGCCCATGTCTTTCCAGTAGAGCCAATCGCCAAGTTGGTACTCTGGCATCATCACGTCTTTAACTATACAGTCGAACGAGTCACAGGTTGGGCCCCACAAGGTCGACAAGTGCTTGTCCTGGGTCTCGCGACTCTAAAGGTTAAACAATAGATAAGTGTTGAACATACATTTGATCTTGTATGATTTTGAAGGGGTTATGATATTTGGTCGGAAAAGCTAAAATCTACCTTATCGATTAGGTATCTTTCTTAGTTACATAAGTTTTTGTTGTTAATCTGCCACTTAGCAAAGTTTGGAAAAAGCTATATCTATCTTAATGACATGCTGAAATGATTGTCTACCAGAAATGAGAATTAAAATATTTCATTTCGGTAGGGATGATATTTTTGTAGGTTATCATCAAAATATGATCTCGAATCTTTACTTATCGACGGTGGACTAAAAAAGCTTTGAATCAGAAATCAGAATACTTTAAGCTCAGCCCCTCACGTGTAAGTATGTAAATGCATGTGCCAACATATTGCACATTAGGCATATGATAATGCGTATAAGAACAAGTGCCATCACTTACGAGTTGTTGCTCCGTAGTTCGCTGGCTTCATCGCTATCCGACTTGTGATGATCGCTAGCCTCATCGTCGATTTCTCTCACTATCACTTTATTGTTTTTACTGATCTCTGACATAAAATCATCCCTGCCAACACCAAAAAAAAAAAAAATCATTGTTACTTCTAGTTAAAATTTTTTGAGTTTAGGTTTCATGGTCAGTAAGCTAGCTTATAGTAGAATACTTATTAGAGCATTGTCAGTAGAAGGTCGTATTACGTGTCTCAGAGGACTGATAAATAAAAATAAAATAATAGTTAAAATAAAAGAAGATGAAAAAATTAATCTTGAAGTTTTTAAGATTGATGATGTCGTAACATAAATATTTTTAACTCCAATACTTTCATCCTCACAGTTCAGGAGGCTCATAGTAATATAGTAAACAAATATTTTCAATGATAAATGTAAAAATATTAATCAAAAATATTTTGATTCAAGTTTCCGTAAACGACCATTAATTTACAGTTGTAAATGATTAACCAAATAAAATTATGTTCAAATTCCCCAACCAATCCCCACCGCTTCACGCATATTCATGTCTTCGACATTTAATTTAGATAGATCTTTCACCTTAATAATATGTAATAATCCATTTAATTTTCCAAAATGCGTTGGCCGGGAATTTTCGAAGCTTCGCAGTGAACACCAACAACAATGAAAACAACAAAGCTTTGCGGAGCTATAAAAGTGCGGGTAATGTNAGCCAAAAATTCAAAAGTATATGTGCCCAAGTTTGAATGTCAGTGATGCTATTTGTTTCAAACACAATTAAAGTACTGTAAATAAAAAATAAAAAACTACGAACGACCTCACAAATCAAATTTATCTTCAGAAATATTAATATGAAATCGAGTGGTTTCAAGGGGCTTTGTCAATTAAAAACGCAGTGAAATGACATATATACTTACAATAATTACAACATACAAAATTCTCAAAGAGCAAAATACACGTGCTCTCATTTTCGTGAAATTTATTTCATTACTCTGCATTGTTGACACGAGTTAATGACAATATCTTAAATATAAGAAAGAACAACAATTTATAACTGTGATTTAACAAGTAGAAATTAAAAATCACATTAAAAAAACAAATCAATTACACACCATTAAGGCCTGGACCCGGCAAATCCGTTGTTTTACCATTTCGGCGCGGACCACATCAGCGAGAAGAGTGCTCGCCAAGTGGACATAATACACACGGATGGTGGCTTGTACGGGGCCTTCGAGCGCACCGGTAGGACAGATTTTTTTCCTAACGGCGGTGGAAGACCTCAGCCCGGTTGCCATCTCATTGGCTTGCCCCTATCTCCCAAAGGTAAGACATGCCCACATCTTTGTCAATATCTCATCAAGAAAACCCCCCTTTCCCCTAACAAATCGTTTCATGTCTCTGAAAATTAGTAAGAAAAAAAAAGATTTTATAAGTTATCAGGTATTTTAATGACTGTCTCATTAATCGCCAGTTTACACCGCAATATAAGTACTCTGTTATCTTACTTTTTTTTCCTTTAAAAATCTTATTAAAATACTACTGCTTCTGAAATTAATTCAAGTATTCAGATAATACAAATTACTTTTGAAGTACCAAAAATATAGGTAATCTAACAATTTAATGGATTTAAGTAAGTTATTATTTCATAAAAATTGACATAAATTTTATAAGAAAAATCTATAGAATCCTGAATGTTTTTGACAAAAAATTTTTACAGCAGCTGATTGCATTACATGGAAGCTGATTTTAACATTTAAATAAAACAAGGAAGTCTGTAAAATTTAATAAATAAAACAATAAAATAACTGTCAAATAATCAATTTCAATTAGTTATTTGAATATAACGCTTGTTACGCAAAGTTTACTGCATTTGTACAATTATTTTGTAGGATTTGATGGACGTATTTGTTGCAAAAAAAAGCGTATTGCCTTCATGTAGTTGTCCAGGAACGCCCACACAGGCTTTGCAAAAACCTTTTGCGGGCCTCCGTAGATTTCACTCCAGTATCCCTATAGGGTTCCCAGTAGGCACTACAACGCGTTTTTTCTTGATCCCCTCCCTGAAAGTACGATCCTTCATAGTATCCTTACACTCCCGTCACTTTTTAACAGACTTACAGCACCTGCTGTCGTCGTTTTTTCTTCTAGTTAACTTTGGTTGTGTTTGTTTGGGCTTATTGATAAAAATAATTTAGAGATTGTTTGGTAAAAATAATAAAAGTAAATGTCACTAAAATGAATTTTTTTTTGTTTTTCTATATTTCATATAATAAAAATTCATTATTATTTGTTTTTGATTAGATATCATTTTTCTCACTTGATTTTGTACCATTTCTTAATTGTTTTCAAAATATTTGGCAAGTCCCTTCAAGTCCCTCGTAGTCAGATAAGACAAAATCTTCCAAGTAATGTGATAGTCCAACGTATAAATCTTCATTGGTATCAAAATATCTTGATGAGCCCAGTTCAAACAATCTTTTGCAACATCCATTAACTGTCTCTTTTCGATTGCCAAATCGAGGCGAGTTTTAATCGCATATTCGTAATACTCAAGCACAGTTTTATTGTCAAGGGCTGAGAAAATTTTTTGGCATTCGTCAAGATAATCTGGATTATTCAACAGTTCGACGAGAAAATCTAGTGGCATCATGAGTAAATCAAACATTGATTTAATACCAATTTTTTTTTCTTTAAGTTCATCTAATTTACTGTTGCAAGAAGCGAGAATATTTGCCAATTCACTGTCTAATTTAAAAATCCCCTTATATGGGACTAATACTGCATCCAAATTATTTAAACGTAAGTTAATCGCATAGTAGAATGTCAGCAAGTAAGTTATCCTTTCAGTCCTTTCGCACGTAATGAAGAAAAAATAAAACTTGTCCATAATGGTACACATCATTAAATTATCTTTTAAATTACCTTTTACAATGATGTCACGCTTGACTCTGAAAAATCAAGCTATATCGGATCGCTGACGAGTATGTAGTATAGTTCAATAAAAATAATTAGTTTACTAAGTTCTCGGGTATTTTAATGACTACTTTATCAATCGCTTTCTTACAACAAAATATTCATCTATTCAAAACACTACGGCACATACGCTTGAAAGTAAAAATCAGTATATTTTTATTGGAATAACGAGAGATAAAAAAATCAGGAGCACCTAAAATTATTTAAAATAAATTTCATAAAGATACTCACCACATAAAGTAGAGGAAACTTCTGTAGGATTCAAAAGTTAAATTAAAGATTGAAAATTTTTTGTGGCAGCTAAATTAATTGCGTCATCATTGATTAAAGCAATCCTGCAACCCATTTTTTCATTCGCTTTCACGGTAAGAAAGACAAGCCTATTGTCTAGTATAACTGTTTTACCTAATAATCCTATTATTGGTTGACCTGTGCATTAACGGAATTATTTTTTATTGCTTTCCTACAACACCTTGTGTTGATACACGTAGAGAGTCGTTAATCCAGTTAGTTTGGACAAAGTTCGTTTTATGACTTTTTATTAAAAAGTAAATTTGAAAACTGATATTTTCCAGTTATTTCTCAGTATTTGAAGAAAAAGTTTAAGCAAAAAAAGTTTTGTAATAATAAATGTTGAGTGGATGTCTGTACGTAAAGATTAGGCATTTAAAAAAAGTTAAAAAATTCTTTTTCCTACCTTGGGCGTTTTTTTTTAACATTTGGACATTTAGTGCACCCTCGGTAGAAAAATGGGGTTCGCAGAGCTCAAAAAGTCCCTTGGGCCCTGCTTGACAGGTCCATTGGGCCTAGTGCTCGCCCTGGCGACATGCGCCACCAGGTACGAAAACTATCATTACCACCGAAAAGCGATCTTTGTAAAAATAATCACTCTATTTGTCGAGTAAATTTAGTTCTAAATGTATATTAAGTATATGAATAAAAAGTATGAACATTCAAATTTAAAAAGTAAGAGAACACTTAAGTAAGAAACTTCTTACTATACATCACACTCGCGAAAATGCAAGTATAACAACTCACAGAGCACCGCAAACTATATGCTCTTCTAAATCAACAAAAGGTAAGCTGAGGCTTGCCCAGAATAATGAATAAACCTTTTGTCTTCAGATCTGTGCAGTCACTGGAGGTCCTGGCGCTACTACGCCGAGTCCGTCGTTCACAACGAAGCTTTCCCGGCACTTGCTTGCAATTCTCTGGCATCCTTTCAGCAGGGCCTCTGCGACAATAACAATATCGTCCATATGGGATATGCAATGCCGAAGAATACGTGAGTCTATAAATTTATGGCAAAAAATTCAGTTGCTTTTTTTTTCCTCGTCAACTTTACAGATCTGGCACCTTTTTCTTGACAACTACTAACGCATCTCCATTTGGAAAAGGAATCAACGGGGTCAGGCGCAAGGAGTAACAAGATTTCGGACGAATCACATTTTGTGACAAAATGAATATATTTAATTTTATTTTACGCAACAATTATTATGTTTAATAAATATTCACCACATTGAACACATTTTTCTTTATTTTAAGCCTAGCAATAAATTTATTATTAATGCAAGAATTATGAGTAGCAGTCATATTGCCGTATCGCTGCATCGTATCACATATCAGATGTAGAGTACTCGAACGCGTATCAGTAGTAGGTAGGTGGGCAGTATAGAAAATATATGTATAAATTGATAGTAAAATTAGGTGGACTTGAAACTACATTGTTGAGAAGTGCACCATCATAGAGGCTACATGCTGCAATTTCTGGAAACAATAAACGAAAATAAACATTTACCTTATTTTTCTACTACTGATAGAGACAAAAATAACATTTACTGTGCTAAAATGACAGTTTAGTTACATCTAGGATCTTTTTACTTTTGGTGACGTAATTTTTACCATTCTGGACAGTTATTTATATTGTACAAACAGTAAAAAGTCTCCAGACAACTGAACAGTACCACATTATCATTCTAGCACATGCAATTTTTTTCTCTCAGTGTTGATTAGATTTTGAAATGTTATAGTATGAGATGAATTAAAGTAATTGATTGGTAATTGTTGTATGTACAATACATACAGTTGTAGAAATGAGGATATAAATGAATTTGAATGAAACAACAAGTGCCATCACTTACGAGTTGTTGCTCCGTAGTTCGCTGGCTTCATCGCTATCCGACTTGGGATGATCGCTAGCCTCATCGTCGATTTCTCTTACTATCACTTGATTGTTTTTACTGATCTCTGACATAAAATCATTCCTACATACACAAAAAAGAGAAAAAACTGGCGTTATATTTTCAACTACGATTTTTGTTGCAGAAAAAGTAAAACTCATACGTGTTTGAACATACTCATCTTCTACATAAAAATCAATAGAAATAAATGTTATAACAAATACGCTGTTAAAAAAAATAAGCTGAATTACCAGTTACTTCTTCGCATAACGGGAAAGATGATGGGCACTCCAAAGCCGTTGAAATTAGTTCCAAGGCAGGTCGAGTATGCGCCCATGTCTTTCCAGTAGAGCCAATCGCCAAGTTGGTACTCTGGCATCATCACGTCTTTAAGTATACAGTCCAACGAGTCACAGGTTGGGCCCCACAAAGTCGACAAGTGCTTGTCCTGGGTCTCGCGACTCTAAAGGTTAAACAATNGACACCTTAAAATTATAAAAAATTTTATTTTATTCACTACTCAAGAAGAAATACTTTTCTTCAGAGAAATGATTTCCATCCGAAACCCGACAGCAAATGACCAACACTTGAAAATGCAAAAACCAAACAAAAATATACTTACCGTAGTGAGGGACGACTCGAGGAATTTTGTCGGTCCAGAGCCTGTGTTTGCGCACGACGTCCCCGACGTCGAACATATGAAAGGGATCCTCGAGGTTCTCGATCGCTATGATCTTCCTGATGATTTCGAGGTCACTGAGCTTGTCGTCGAAGATGCGCACCTCGTCAAAGTCGTAGGGCAATAGTGACAGCGTCATTTTTACCGGTTGGTCAGATTTACCAGGCCAACACACGAGTTATCCCTTTTTGTTACCGATTTTTTCGACGCCGACCAAACAACCTGATCACCAAAATGCGTTGGCCGGGAATTTTCGAAGCTTCGCAGTGAACACCAACAACAATGAAAACAACAAAGCTTTGCGGAGCTATAAAAGTGCGGGTAATGTCTATATGTGTTGGCGCGCGATTTTAAGTCACGGTACGAATTGCACCTGAGCGCATCGGCACCTCAGACTTTATAGCGACGCGACCACGCGTTTCCCTCCTGTTCGGCTCAGCTTCTCCGTCTCTTTCTGTCACTCTTTGGTTGCATCCGAGCGTCGTATGAGATAAGGCGAGTATAGTTTGTCGCTTCTTTTTTTGCCGTCGCGTAACTCACTATTTGGGTAGGGCAGGAGATCTTTAATGAGGTGGTCATTTTTCGATACACATGCCCAATTTGGGAATTGACGATTTTTGGGAGTTCCAAGGAACGCGTGGGTTTCGCGCACGTGTGATCATTTTTCTTGCGGTTGGATCATGCAAGTGATGACTAATACATTTCGAGCGCCTGAACACAAACGAAATGGATGCATCGAGGGGTTCTTGAAGATACTGTAGTTTTATAGAGCTTTCCAATGGGGAGAGCAGACTGTTGAGAATTGTCTTGAATTGTTGATCAAGTGAAATTATGTTCAAGTTAAAAATCCATTGATAGAGTTTTTTTAGAGTAAAAAAATTATTTCAGCATTTTTGGCACCACTATAAAAATGTACAGATGTGGCACAAAAAAAATAATTTTTTCTTTAATGGTTACAACTCTCTGTACTTGTACGCTTTTTTTTTTTTTTCATAAACATCTTGAAAATAACGATTTTAAACTATGCTGTATGATTTTAACGTAATAGTTGATGCTTATTAGCATTTGTAAAAAATTTATTTGGTTTTGTTTGTAGTTACCCAAAATACTTTGTTTTTGTATTTTTGCACGAAGTATCACATTTAGTAACATGATTTTATAAAGTTTATAGTAAAATCATATAAAAATTACGTTACGGTTTAGTTAAAATAAATTTTTGAGGCAAGTTATACAGTTACTCAGTGAATAATTTTATTCCCATAATTAATAAGATATCAGTAGAAAGTATCGAATCTGTTACTATTTCTGTTTTTAAGATTGTGTAATTTAAACACTTACAGTATCTTAGAGGGAGTGTTTCATAGCATACGAGTCACAATAAAAATTCAATAATGTTAATGAAATTGTTTAACAATTTTAAGAGTAATGTCTAACAATATTCATAAACTTTAGAAATTACTTATCAAAGGTTCTAGAGGATTATTATAGTCTCCTATCTTGCGTTGCTTTCAGGTACTTCTATGACAACATATCTATGTCAGGTACACACTGCCGAAGAACACATGAACCTTGAAAGTTATAGCGAAACATTGAATTTTTTTTTCCTCGTTATTTTTATAGATGTAATATTTTCTTCTTGACAACTGTCAACGCATCTCGATTTGGATGAGGAATGGACATGGCCAGGAGCAATGAATAACAAGATTTTATACAAATCGCTTTTAAAATATTTTTTTTTTACTTAACGTAAATTTCTTACATCAAATCAAATGTTTAGACTTTTTTTTTAGTCTAACAATGTACATAATAATAAGTCTAATAATGTAGGAATAAAGTTAATAGCCGTGGTTTTGCCGTACAGCTGCCTCTTATCACACATAAAATACACATATAGTACTCGAACACGTATCAGTAGTAGGTAGGTGGGCAGTATAGAAAATATATGTATAAATTGATAGTAAAATTAGGTGGACTTGAAACTACATTGTTGAGAAGTGCACCATCATAGAGGCTACATGCTGCAATTTCTGGAAACAATAAACGAAAATAAACATTTACCTTATTTTTTAAGCGTAAATTGATGAGATCATGCAACTGTATGTGTGTGTAGTGTAGGATAAATTGAAATTATTGATGAGTGTTTGTTGTTTGGTGAAATAACGATTAAATTGTCATCTATGTAGGATGTGTTGTTCATTACGATACACAATTAATTTTTGTGTAAACGCTAAGTTGGTGACACTTTTTAGTACAAATTTCATCAAATGAAAAGATGTGAGAATAATTGAATTAAAAATGAATGACAAATACTATAACTCACGAATTATTGCTACGTTGTTTTATTTGTTGACTTCGTCGCTGTCCAACGTATGATGGTTGATAGTCTTGTCGTCGATTTCTCTTAGCATAACGCGATTTTTTTTACTGATTTCTGACATAAAATCCTCCCTGCCAACACCAAAAAGAAAAAGATATTGGTATTTTACTTTCATCTAGCACTTTCTGCTGCAGAACAAGTAAAATTTATACAGATTCGAACATATACATCGTATACATAAAAATCAAAAGAAGTAAACGTCATAACAAAGTGTCTCAGTTATGTAATTTTTGTTTTAGTCAATCTGCTACTGAGTAGTATTAAAAGAAAACTTTATTATTTTAATGGCACATCGGACTTTTGCTAAACAGTGGATTTAATCAGAATCTTTTATATGAATATGTTTTTATTTATACACATTTTTTTATGTGTCACTTACGTTAGCTCTGCTAAATTTAGGTTCAATTTTTATGGGCTTTCTTCAGTTAAAAAAAAANGATTGTCTACCAGAAATGAGAATTAAAATATTTAATTTCGGTAGGGATGATATTTTTGTAGGTTATCATCAAAATATGATCTCGAATCTTTACTTATCGACGGTGGACTAAAAAAGCTTTGAATCAGAAATCAGAATACTTTAAGCTCAGCCCCTCACGTGTAAGTATGTAAATGCATGTGCCAACATATTGCACATTAGGCATATGATAATGCGTATGCTTTGCGTGTATAATATATATGTATAGAGGGTTCAAAGCTTTTGTGACTTCAAAGAAATCCCTGAGCTGTTTGCGATCGTATTAAGCTTGTCAACGCTTCCTCGGCCACCCGTTTGCTTTGACGCGCAAAGCGAACAGTTTATTGAGAAATGAGAGCCTTTGTTTAGTTTCATCGATACTCATGGCTTTTCCATCTCGCCTCTGACTCACCCCATTTTTTTTCTCTGATTACTTTCTTTGAAATTGAATCATATTGCTTCGAAATTGGAGTTTCGCGTAATTGAACGATAAATAATTTATATTGATATGTATGGCAAAAAGTTTGCTTACACACGACGACATGAGAAAATACGTTTTTATTATAGTGTCAGACTGAAAATGGACGGACTAAATTGCTGGTGTTAAAAAGTTTGGAGGTGAAACTGATTTTTTTCTTACTGGATATCAGTTTCATTGTAAGAGAAAGCCGGTTGGACAAGTAGTACACAATATTTATGCCTGTCAATAAAAATAATTAAAAATATTGTAACGATACTTTATAAATATCTGTAATACTTTTTTTGTTTTGTTTATATGTTAATGTGTAAAAGATGGTTATGTTTGCAAAGAAAGTCAATAAATTATGGTACCATCTGGTATTAATGGTTACTTACATGAATCGTCTAATTATCTTGTCCAAATTAATAATTTGTCAGTAGATATGTTGGTAAGAATAATGTTATATATTACATATTTTTTATTTGTACAAAAATAATCAGCGATCGGTATCATTAATTATTTAAAATTTTCAAGATCTACTAGAGGAAATACCCTCATGTACTTAGTTTGCAATGAAATAATTGTAATTTTTTATACAAAAATGTACTTGATGGATCTAATGAAAATTTTTTATGAGAATTTCCGACTTGAGATGCAAGTGGATATTGGACGAAAAACCGCAATATTACACGAACTTTTCGTGTAAACATATAAATATTGGCCCTCACTCGTGTACTCACCTCATCGACAGCTTGGGGTACTCGCGATTTTAGCTGCAGCAGCTCCTCAAGGAACGAGCCATAGACGCCATCGTTGACGTAATACATATTATGCTCGAAGCCGTTCTTGTCTACGGTCGTCTTTTTCCCGTGGAGGTAAGCGACTGCGGTGAAGGCCGAGGTCACGTAATAGCGTCCCGGCTCGCTGATCACTCGGATCGACGGGTCCACGTCCTCCAGGGCCTCGTTTATCACGTCTGCGAACTGCGAGCGATTTTTGCGGGATTTTTGCAAAGCGTTAGTATATGAGTATTGCCCATTACTGCACGCTAATTAATCTTAATTAATTGTGCTGTGTGTGGTTGCGTGAATTGCTGGCCGTTATTACCATTATCTTTACGGTTGTCATTGTAATTATTACTATTACTACAATTATTATTATTATTATTATTATTACTATTATTATCATTATTATTATTGTAATTTTTGTTAGAGCGAGATTATGATGTGTGGAAGCAAGGACGTACTACAAAGTATATCAAAGGCTAGAATGAGATACGTGTATGTTAGATACAATGCGTAGGTAAATGCCTAGTTGGGGTGTAATTATGCGTGACATCAGCATATTATGACATATAATAACTATTACCTGCTCTTAGTGTTTCACCAACTTTGGATTTTGGTTCAAAATGTAACTTATGCTCGTTCTGAATTAAGATTTTAGCTAAAGCTGGCTTATCAAGATTACAGGGCTCAACAATCGGATGTGAAGTTGTGAAAATAGTCGATTTACGTGTCTGCATAAGTAGTGGTTCTACTTTTTGTTCTGGTGCGAAATACATAAATAGTAATAGTTATATAAATTATGATAACATTAACAACATTGATTTATGATAGTAACAGTAATTATGAAAATGACAATAACAGTAGTGATGATGATAATAATGAACATCGAATAAAATAAATAATCTATTATTATACTTGGTTTTTTGGTAAAAAAAAAAGTTTTTTCCGCCCTCAGGCGGTTTTGGGAGGCTGGTACTTCCTCGGGCGAAAAAGCAGTTTTCCGGAACTCGTTCGAAAAGTCTCCTTTACGAACCTCGTTACATCCCTCGCCTTCGGCTCGGGCCACAAACCTCTCAGTTCGCAAACAGAGACTTTGCAAACTCGTAGGAAAACTACTATTTGTATTGTGAGTTAATGCAAAAGCATTATATTTTTAGGGGGTTAGCGCGGGAAACGAGCAAAGTGGTGGAATCCAGTCAGTATACATATAAATTCATATTTTTCTAAGCCCTCTAACAATTTATAAATAAATAATACAGTGCCCTTTTATAAAGCTCATGCTACAATATTAAACCCCAAGGGCCAGATTTGTATTATTTATTAGGAAGATTTTAATATTGTTCCTTTTTGTAAGGAGTTAAAATATATTTTTTATCTTGATAAGCTACAAACTGTACAACTCTCAATAACGACCTTTAAACTGCATTTTTTTCCTTTAAAATCTGAATCGAATTTTTTTCGTAAGATGTGATACAATCAGTATGACTAAAAAAAATATAAAAAATTTTTTTTTCAGCNGAAGATTATCCTATCGGCTGGTACCCCGTACGCCATGACTTGCACTATTTCTTGCTGCAAATGGACAATTGCCCTGTTAATCCATGCACTTGCTAATTTTTAAATGCAATTGTTTGGTAAGAGGTTTTTGGTACCTTGGAGGCGCAGTCGAAGCTTTATTTATACACATTTTTTTATGTGTCACTTACGTTAGCTCTGCTAAATTTAGGTTCAATTTTTATGGGCTTTCTTCAGTTAAAAAAAAAAAAAGGTCAAACATAAGATTACAAAAAAATCTTTGAATTTAGTAACAAAAAATACAAAGCTACTAAATTATTAGCAATACCAACTTGAATAGTTTTGTAGCAGTAATGACAGGGCAACGAAAAATGCAAAAGTAAAAGATTTAATTGATTGTTTTTATTGTTCTCAAAGGTATAAGTAGGTATTCCTGGCATCTTATTTTTATTATTTATCACAGAGTAAATACTCGTTCGATCTTATACCTTCGAGTTATCACAGAAAATGGAACTTATCTTTGGTACTTACTTATTTTTACTTCATTTCGATGTGTTCGTACCCAAAATAAATTCTGAAAAGCAAATTTTTCAATCAAATGTGACAAAAATAATAGTAGTATACATGCGATAGATTCAAATGTACGATGATTCAATACTTTTTTTTTCTTACCTAATATCGGAGCACGAACTCATAAATTATGTATAAAGAAGGTGATTACATGGAAATTATTCCGAATTGCGCGACTAATAAGGTAGGGATCACTTGATGGAGTGTCTGCTAACCAATTGATGCGTCACCTGGAGCTAGACACGTGATTACACATGACGTTTAAATATTTTTGACAGAAAAGGAAAAAAAAAATGATATTCAGGTATGCAAAATGATCAGGAAGACAAATAAAGTGGCGTTGATTGGGAATTTTGTACCAACACTTAATGTGTCTTATGATTTACATATTACCAGTTTAGCTATTCTCAAGCGTTAATTAGTTTCGGTTTCGAAACAAGTTTTAATTTTATTTGTTAGTTAATAAAGTATCGTGACAAAACTGCTAGTTTTTATGTTTATTACAAGTATACATAGAAGGAAATTCACGTTGTGGCTAAAAGCAATTATGTTTTATAAAAAAATACAATTATTATTACTTACCATTTTCAACGTATTAAAAAAAAAAACTTCTTTGTTTATTATTTTGTTAATCTATTAAAATATAAAAGTATGTTTAATTTACATTAGTTGCGTTAAGTAATTAGTGATTTAATTATATGNAAAAAAACTTGTACGCAACTCGTGCGGGACGATTTCCCGCACTCGTGTGATAGACTCGCACTCGTGGCCGGTGACGGTAACTCGTACCTTGCGATCACACTCGTGCTACGCACTCGTGTGCTCAACTGGTACTCGTTCCCGTCAACTCCGGTACTCGTGTGAGTCAATCACTACTCGTGCGGGAAATCGTCTTTTCCGCACTTGTTACGTAAATAACTATTAATACACGATTCCATTTTTTGATAAATAATCGGTTCGACACGTGATTGAATGTATAACTTTTTTTCATACGAGTACTTCCATATTTAAACGAAAGAGTGATAACTTGATCTTAGATACTATCTACCTCATTTAAAGCGATCTTGTATATGAATCTAAATGACCTTTTGCATCAAATCCCTAAAGACGACGCGTTTTCCTATGTGTGATCGATTATTCAAGAAAATTTTTTTTTCCTGAGAACCCTATCAATTCGATGTTTCATCCAGTTATACCAAATTTATTTAGTCAAAAAATGACAAAACCAAGGAAATAAAAAAAAAATCATCCACTTACTTGGCTTCCGGGTAAAACTCCTTGATTTTCCTCAGCTCCCACATGCTGTCGACGGTCATTTTCGAGACGCCGACCTTCTGGGCGTACCTGATCTGGCAGGGGGTCTTTATGGGGTTAGCGAAGATTATCCTATCGGCTGGTACCCCGTACGCCATGACTTGCACTATTTCCATACCATGAAATAGGATTTTTTTTGACAAAATATGGTTTAATACTCTTCTAATTTAATAAAACCTAACAGTAAGTATAATAATAATTATTGTAATGTATTAAAAAAAATTTTACAAGAATATGAATGGGATGTAAATTGCAATAATAATTTTCATTATTCTCGTGTGGATGGTAACCCCCTTTATTTTATCTGGATCATTTATGGCGGAGCAAGACTTCCAATGTAATCTTATCCGTTCAAAAAATCACATACAACGAAAGTTACTTCTAGTACTATTACTTATTTTTACTTTAGTTTGATGTATTTCTGCCAAAAATGAGTTATAAAAAGCAATTTTTTTCATAAGATGTAAAAAAAAATGTTTAAGTATGTGCCATAAATTTAATTGCACCGTTATTCAACAAACCTTTTTTTCTTACCCAACATCGGAGACCGATTTGATTATGTATAAAAAGATGATAATACAGAAATTAATTTTAATCGCGCGACAAATTATGTCAAGACTAAAATTATGTCGTGTCTGTTAACTTATCAATGTGAGAACTGGAGCTTGAAACTTCGTTACACAACACGATTAAATATTTTTGATAGAAATAGAAGAAGATTATTTCTAGGAGAGCAAAATTATTAGGAATTTTAATCAAGTGGCGTTGATTGTGGAGTTTGCGTATAAACACTCAACGTGTTTTCTGATAAAGATATTGCCAATTTAGCTATTTCGATGCATAACGTTCGTTTCATTTTCAAGGTAAGTTATAATTTTGTTTTTGAATGATAAAGTTGGATGACAAAACAACTAATTACTTTTTATGTTTATGACGTGCACGACCACATTTGCATAGAAGGAAATTCACATTTTAGATAACGGCAATTTTGTTTCATAAAATAAAGTTTTTATCACTTACCAATTCAAATGTATTCAAGGATAAAATTTAATTTGTTAATTATTAACTTGCTAGTCAATTTGGATCATGAGGAATTTTTATTTAATTTTATTAAATTAAGTATATATTGATATAAAAATTTTTTTTTTTTAATATGGTTACTTTTTTGTATTATTCAATGGAGTTAGTTGGATTATATTTAATCAGTTTGGTTAGTGAATTATGAAATATTAGTAAAGAGATTTTGAAATTAAGTATTAGTTTAAACGTAGATTCAACATTTAAAATAAATACGATTTAACTAAGAATAATTTTATTAAATCATTTATTTTATTTTATTTTTTTTATTAACATTATTAGAATACTAAAATTTTTTTATTGTCACAAACAGCAAAGTGTTCCAAAATACTTTAATCGATACTACACAAACTTTTGTTTAGCAATTCCTATACGCTCTAAATCACTTTATCTACAGTTTAACATCCCTTAAGACCACAATTATCTTAATAAATGATTAATCGTTCTCTAATCGATAAACAATTTTTTTTTCTCGCAGAGGAGGAAAATCCCGAGAAAGAAACACTTGCTCAAGTGTGGAAGAAGAGGAAAAATCTCGTTTATCTGAAAGCCAAGACTCCTCGCGATATAAGATGGGCAAAAATAAGTATAGCGTCTAAAAAAAAGCAGAGCGAAACGATAAAACGAATTTCGGGAAGGGGAGAGAAAAACTACGGGCGCCACGGGAGGGCCATGGTGCTCCTGTAGGTGGTGGTGACGGTGCGCCGACTGGTGGAGGAGGTGGTCCTGCGGTAGCGCCAGTTGGTGCGGTAGTGCTCGGGGAACCAAAAAATGAGGTGCCGGTACTCGAAGAGCAGGTCCCGGAGGAGGAAGACGCGGCGGAGGGTCTTGAAGTGGGAATATACCTCGTCGAGGACAAAGTCGGCCTCTCCGGGGACGCCGCCGCCGATGTCGATCAGCTGGACGTTGTAGAAGCCGTAGTCGCGGGCTGTGTCGATGAGGCCCTTGCACAGCCCGATGCCGCGGCTGAGGGCGAGGACTTCGCCGCAGGGGCTGCCCACGTGGAAGCTGAAGCCGTGGAGGTCCAGGCCGAGGTCCCGGCAGCCGCGGATCAGGAGCTTGGCCTCCTCGTCTGGATCACAGCCGAACTTTGCGCCGAGGTAGGCGTCAGATACCAATGCGTCGCACCGAAAACGGATTATTACCCTACGGGCAGGTAACAGGCATAGAAGAGTTGAACTTTTTTAAGAGTTTTTATTTTAAGGTACTGAACAGAAAACAAAAAAATGAGATATGATCACGACGATAGCAAAACCCTGTCATTCCTAGCACACTTTTTCTCGTGTTTTTACCTGATACGTAATATTAAGGGGAACATTGTGTGTAGAATATTGTTACTCAATGAACTAATTTTCTAAGTTTTATGTTTTTCCGGCTACAACCATATACTTATACGATAACAATTGCTGTACCGTATTTAATTTATTCAATAAAACGAAAGAAAATGTAATACTTCTTATCACTTATGCGGTATGCAGCGAGAGTTAGAGATCATATCAAAACGTGTCATGTCAACAGACAACGTTATTTTAGTTTTTTCGTCAACACAAATATTGAATCAGTTTACAATTGAAGTAATGCCCTCTTCTTTTTGTAAAATGCCTACTGGACATGGAAAATCACATCAATATTTTTTCAACCACACACATTGTGATTTGTATAAGCTCTATTAAACGTGAGACAATGGAAACAACTTTTGTCATCATTTTCAAAAAAACATCTAATCACGCCATAAATATTTAACACTGGTAGAAATAGTAACGAAGAAACGTACGTCAGAAATAAAGTATTCTAGTTTTACGTTACTGTCCACTACTTCCTTTATCAATTAGTAGATCGTCTTAAATTTTTGTTATTCCACAGAAATGATATGTTAGATAAGATATCAATTAGGTCTGAAAACGTACTTTCCCCTCAAAAGATATGTAATGTCCAAGAATAAAAAAGACGATCGATTTCTTAACTCGCGATCTTTACCATACGTACATCTAAAGTTATCATTAAATATAATAGTTATCAAAAAACAACAGCAACTTCTAGCAAAAAATTTTTTTTTCTATGATCTTCACCAATTTGATGTTTCATCCAGTTATACCAAATTTATTTTGTCAAAAAATGACAAAACCAAGGAGATACAAAAAAAATCATCCACTTACTTGGCTTCCGGGTAAAACTCCTTGATTTTCCTCAGCTCCCACATGCTGTCGACGGTCATTTTCGAGACGCCGACCTTCTGGGCGTACCTGATCTGGCAGGGGGTCTTTATGGGGTTAGCGAAGATTATCCTATCGGCTGGTACCCCGTACGCCATGACTTGCACTATTTCTTGCTGCAAATGGACAATTGCCCTGTTAATCCATGCACTTGCTAATTTTTAAATGCAATTGTTTGGTAAGAGGTTTTTGGTACCTTGGAGGCGCAGTCGAAGCTCGCGCCCAACGCGGCCAGTGTTTTTATCACTGTTGGGTTCGGGTTGCACTTCACAGCTGAAATCAGAGTTTTTTATTAGTTCCTTTGTGTCACTGAGCCGAGAACAGCCAAAATATTATCATAGTACTGAGACGCAACCGTTTAAAGAAAATTATAAAAAAAATTTTATTTTATTCACTACTCAAGAAGAAATACTTTTCTTCAGAGAAATGATTTCCATCCGAAACCCGACAGCAAATGACCAACACTTGAAAATGCAAAAACCAAACAAAAATATACTTACCGTAGTGAGGGACGACTCGAGGAATTTTGTCGGTCCAGAGCCTGTGTTTGCGCACGACGTCCCCGACGTCGAACATATGAAAGGGATCCTCGAGGTTCTCGATCGCTATGATCTTCCTGATGATTTCGAGGTCACTGAGCTTGTCGTCGAAGATGCGCACCTCGTCAAAGTCGTAGGGCAATAGTGACAGCGTCATTTTTACCGGTTGGTCAGATTTACCAGGCCAACACACGAGTTATCCCTTTTTGTTACCGATTTTTTCGACGCCGACCAAACAACCTGATCACCAAAATGCGTTGGCCGGGAATTTTCGAAGCTTCGCAGTGAACACCAACAACAATGAAAACAACAAAGCTTTGCGGAGCTATAAAAGTGCGGGTAATGTCTATATGTGTTGGCGCGCGATTTTAAGTCACGGTACGAATTGCACCTGAGCGCATCGGCACCTCAGACTTTATAGCGACGCGACCACGCGTTTCCCTCCTGTTCGGCTCAGCTTCTCCGTCTCTTTCTGTCACTCTTTGGTTGCATCCGAGCGTCGTATGAGATAAGGCGAGTATAGTTTGTCGCTTCTTTTTTTGCCGTCGCGTAACTCACTATTTGGGTAGGGCAGGAGATCTTTAATGAGGTGGTCATTTTTCGATACACATGCCCAATTTGGGAATTGACGATTTTTGGGAGTTCCAAGGAACGCGTGGGTTTCGCGCACGTGTGATCATTTTTCTTGCGGTTGGATCATGCAATTGGTCATTTACACAAATCTTAACGTCCAAACAAAAACGAAATCGAGATATCATCTAAGCGCTAGAAAAGATACCGTAAAGTTTTATTTCGAAAAGTTTTGCTGAGTACAACGTTAAAACGTAAACGATAATTTTTCTTAAGTAAATATCCAATTTTAAGCAATTTGAACGTCACTGTATGAGAATGTACAGTTTTGGTGTACAAAAACTTACAAATTAAAACATTTTAACTTTTCAACTAAATTGTTCATAACTTGCTTCTGCCGTTTTGGTGGTATTTTATAATTGAATTTCTTGTTCAAAAGATTAAAACGCTTAAAGAAAAATCTTCTGCATAGTTGGAGGTTGCCACATGTGTTTGATGCTAATGGATAGTTACAAATTTGCAAGTGCGTATCTCTAAAGTTTGGAAACTTTCCTTACAGAACCTATTCATACAACAAAAGAACGATAAGCATATTTCATTACTTTATGTATAACTTGAAGTATCCAAAAATGCTTTTTTTTCCTGGAATGGAATTATTTCGTTTGTTAACTTAAATCGGTTGTAACATTTTTCGGTCATTTCTTAGATATCTATCTTTGAAAATCTGACTCAGATTGTTACGATACGTCTAATAAACCTTGTTTGTTTGAGTTGTCAAACTTGATGGGGCAACGGGGACTCGACTAAAAATAAAGGGGAAAGATCAACAAAGAAAATACTAGAATTTTTTATCAATCCACTTATATTTTAGTAACCTGCCGAATGGTTATATTCATAATAATAATTATTGATTGCTTTAAACGTGTTTTTTTGTGCTTTCTTGATCTTGTTGCTGTTTTACAGCTTTAGCTATATCCATTCCAGGATAGAAATGCGTTTGTTTGATTTTCTTCATGCTGTTTTACGCCGTTTTTCGAGAGTAATTTGGGCTCATTTTACAATAGGGGAACCAAATGTACAATGGAAGGTTTAAACTCTTGTCGTCTGGAACTTCGGCGAGACGATGTAAGAAAATTGTAACATTTCCAAGGTTGTATTTGTTCATTTTCCAACGCAGAATTGTGTTGCAACTACTATATTGAATTTGAACATGATAATAATTGCGTTGACTTTGACGATGGAACAGTAAATTAAAATTCACACACAATCAAGAAATTTTTTTTGTTATCAATGTAAAGTGTAATGAGTGAACCTATTGTTGACTATTTTTTTTTTTTTGTAATTTATAAAGAGTAAATAAGATGTGTACTTATGTGTAAGTAAGTATAAAACACGTTTATTCGGCATGAAAGGGTTTATACAACTATCAACTTTCTTGGTTGATTTGCACATTTTTTGCTTTATTTTCTTTTCAAAGAATTTGTACTGTAATTTTACAAAAAAATTAACCAGAGATGAAGTTTGGAACAAAATATCAGAAATCTTTAATGATTGTCATTTAAAAATATTAGGGCTTGTGTACTGGTTACTCTAAATGTTGAATAATGTAACCTTGATGTCAGAAATAAATTGTGATTGGCACTAGATTGTAAATACCTAAAATAATTCAATCAGCATTATTTATTTATTTATTTATTTATTTATCTAATAAAAACGTGACTTTATGGGGTTAGCGAAGATTATCCTATCGGCTGGTACCCCGTACGCCATGACTTGCACTATTTCTTGCTGCAAATGGACAATTGCCCTGTTAATCCATGCACTTGCTAATTTTTAAATGCAATTGTTTG